GGCCAAAGCACAGGAGGCCAGTGTGCCTGCAGCTGGGAAAAGGGCGGGATGAAGTTAATTTTTTTTTCTGACTGTGAAGGACATTCAGAGGACTGTGGCATGATCTGACTTGGGTTTCAAAAGATCTCTCTGACTATGGTGATGGTTCATGGGTGAGTTGGTAGTGGAAATTCTAGGGGACTACACCTGAGAAGAGAAACATTGTACAAAAATGAATGATGTGTGTATATATATAGATAAATGTTTTTAAAAAATAAAAGATCTCGGGCCTCCCTGGTGGCGCAGGCGGTTGAGCACCACATTGTGAAGCTGTCCGCAGCCTCTGCAGCGCGGGTTCAATCCTGGTCGGCAGGCGAAAATCCCACATGGTACGGCAGACCTCTCCTGTCGCGCCTGCTGCTCCCCTCAGCAGTGTGTTTTAGTCAGTCTACCTGTTCTGCTCCCCGCTCTGTCTCTGGTGAATCTTCTCACCCTCCCGTGCATCGGGCCTGTACCCCGGTTCTTGTATTAAAAAAAAATAGATCAAAAAAAAAAAAACCAGAAACAAAGAAAAGATCTCTCTGGTAGGAGAGGATCAGGGCACCAGTTCAATTTTCCAGACAAGAGATGGGCTAGAGTGGTAGTGGAAAAGTGTGATAAGTCATAAGATTCTGGATGTATTCTGATTTAGAACCAATGAGATTTGCTGATAGATTTGGTTGTAGAGTAAAAGAGGAAGGAGATAGTACTACAAGGTTAACGAAGCACTTGAAAATACTGTATCTATTTAAAGGACTCTGGAGGAACACTAAAAGTACATTACTAAGTGAAAGAAGCTACTCTGGAAAGGCTACAACTATGATATTTTGGAAAAGGTAAAACTATGGAGACCATAAAAACTATTGTGGTTGCCAGAGCTCATACTCTGTATAACACCATCATGATGGGCACATGTCGTCGTGCATTTGTCCAAACCCACAGAATGCACACCACCAAAGTGAACCCTAATGTGAACTGTGGACTTCAGATGATTATGTGCTGATAAAGAGTCGTCACTTGTAACAAATGCATCACGCCGTGGGGATCTTAATAGTGGTGAGGCCATGCATGTGTGATGATAGGGGGTCCCCTTAATTTTGCTGTGAATCTTAAGGTAGTCTAAAAAGGTTAGTCTATAGGAAAAAAAATTTAATTTAAATTTATAAGAAGATATAGTCTAAAAGCAGAACTATCTCAGCTACCTTTGCTTCTTGTATACTTACTGTTACATTCTTCCCACAAAGTCTCTGCAGATCTTGTCCTAAGCCATGTATCCACTTTGTGATAAAGTAGTTCACACTAAAGTAGTTCACAAACCTACTCTGCCTGACATATGTAAACTATATCCATCTTTGCACTATAGTAAAACGTGTCACCACAAAGCCCTGAGGAACTGCCTTAGGACACTTATCTTCTGGCACAAGAAATGGGACATCATTCAGGTGCCAGTGCCAACTCACGCCTTATGTCTTAGTAGAACTTAGTTTCATTTAGTTTCTTAGGGTAAATAAATAGAAACTGAAATACTGGACCTCCCTGGTGGTGCAGGGGTTAAGTCTCAGCACTATGAAGCTACCAGCAGCCACCACAGTATGAGTTAGATCCCCAGCCAGGGAGCCAACCCACATTTGGCACAGCAGACCTCTCACATCTTGCCCGCTGCTTCCCTCAGCAGTGTATTTCAGTCAATCCACCTGCTCTGCTCCCTACTCTGTCTCTGGTGAAGCTACTTACCACCCCCGCATGTCTGGCCTTAACCCCAGCTCTTGTATCCATAAATAAATAAAATCTTTTTTTAAAAAAATTGGAATATATTCTCTCCACTTCCCAGTGCACCTTACCATGTTTCCCAGAACTCACACTCTGCCTGGTTCTGGGCTTTTTCACCACCATAGAAGGTAACAAATGACACTGCTACAGAGTCAGAATTGGACTGGACTCAGCTTCTGAGTAAACAGAACCCCCATTAATGCCTCAATTATCACACACCCCAGTGACACAGGACAAGGAAAAATGGTATTGAGATCCCAAGCTTAAAAAAAAAAAATTAAGAGTCAAAGTAACCATGTTAAATTTTAAAGGCTTGCCATATAGACTTTTGAAATATTTAAACTATGCTAATTTTCTTGCCTAAAGTAATTGGTATCATTTTTGTAGGCTGGTCAAGAAAAATTTTATTTTTGCATGTCTTCATGGTCTTGTGAGTAAAATTGGCTCTTCCAAGTGGATTAAGAACCTGCACTTCTTTCCTATAAAAAGTTTTATATCTATTGTGTGGTCAAAAATTCAATGACTGTAAAAACTTTCTGAATAGGGCCTCCCCAGTGGCGCAGCGGTTGAGCGCTGGGTTGCGAAGCTGCCCGTAGCCTCTGCTGCGCCGGTTCGATCCCCGGCTGCTCCCCGGTCACCAGAGGAGGGTCCCACATGGCGCGCAGACCTCTCCTGCCGCGCGCTGCTCCCCTCAGCAGTGTACTTCGGTCCTTCTGCCTGCTCTGCTCCCCGCTCTGGCTCTGGTGAATTCTCTCACACTCCCGCGCTTCTGACTGTACCCAGTGCTTGTATGGATAAATAAATTAAAAAAAAAAACTTTCTGAATAATAATATAAATAACCAAATATATTTATTGTACAATCTATCTGAAACTGAAAACTCTGAATTCTATTCACCAACAAAATAAACACTGTTTCCTCCTCAGAGGAAATCTGAGAGGGCAATATGAGCTAAAACATCTTTACTTGTACAGTAAGACTAAGATTGGAGGTGGTGACAAGAAAGTGGCTGACATGTCTCAACTCTGGTTCCAAATGACTGTCAAACACAGGCAGGCCCCTAAATGCAGGGTCGCTTTTCCCAGGCCTCCCTTTCTCTTCATAGAAACCCAAGCCCAAAAAGATCTCCAGTCATAGGGCAGGCATTCCCCTGCACTGTTGACAAATGCAGTGGCACCTGTGCAGTCATTTGAAATGCATTAGCCAGCACTCACACCAAATTAAAGTAACACAGTCATGCATGTCTGAGGGACCCTTGCATGGAAAGGGGCACTCAATGATTGGACTCCCTAGGAGAAACACCACACTGGATGATTCTAGGGTTACCTTGAACCAGGAATTATGGGGTAATCAACAAACCCAAATGTAGTGAGCATAAAAGTGAGGGAGAAGGAGGACAACAAATTATCTGGATATTTTTCCAAGAAAAAAAGATATGATTCATTTAGACTAGGTTTCAAAAAATAAAGAAACCATTTGGAACCCCTGCAAAGGAAGTGGGAGCTCATGCCTCCCCATAACATTGCAGCGCCACCTCCCACAGGCTAACCAGATTTCCTCATGGCCCTGTCATTTCTCAAGCCTGGGAGTCAGGGGAACTCCTTGACCGTGACGGGTTTGCAAGTAACAGGCTCCAACTTTGGAAAGAATGGGTGGAAGTCACAGTTAGTCTGGTTCAGCTACTAACTTAGCTACAGCTTTTGAGCAAGTTTTCAAAAAGAATTAAGGTGGCTTTTTATGATGATGCCCTCCACCTTCTTAGTCGCAGGAGGCTGACCGCTGTGTATGGATTATATTAACAGACTCCCTTGCGCTCTGGCCTCCAGGTGGGTTCAACCAGTGAGGAGAGAGGAAAGGGAGACAAAGGTACTGACAAAAGACTCCTTAGCCAAACTGCAGTCACGTTCTTCTGCACCCTTAACTAGGCACTACCTTTGGGTTTTTCCATGTTCACCTTTGCATCTTCCAAATTCAGAAAGATTCCAGTAAGTCAGTTTAGGAAGAACCCCCAACCCCAATATCTGATCAAATTCTTCACCAGCATCATCCCCCAGGTGATGTCTGGTCACCCAAGCCAGCCGTCAGCAAGAATTCCATCAAGTCAATTTAACCAGAATGTCCCTCTCACCCCTGAAATTTTCTCTCAGTCATTTTCCATCCACTGACCACCATTCTTTTCCTGGGCTACAAACCACAGCTGTATCCAGAATTGAACACAGTTCTGTACTGAGATCTGTTCCCCACTATTGCAATAGTCCTGAGTAATAACTTGTTTTACCCCTCCAGCTACTGTCCAGCTCTGGTTTTCTTTCTTTTTTTTTTTTTCTTTTGTGGGACCCTCGCCAGTGGCCGGGGATTGAACCGACGCTGCAGAGGCTGCGGGCAGCCTCGCAACCCAGCATTCAACTGCTCCGCCACCAGGGGAGGCCCCAGCTCTGGTTTTCTTTAACTGTATTTATTCCCTTGCTCTCTCCCCAGGGACTGCCTTGGCCAGTCTGCATCACTGATCCTCTAGGTGTCTGACTACATGACTTGCTCTCCTTCTACATTTCATGAACTGCTACCTCCCCTTCTCCCTTTGCTTCTAGGCATGGTAAAAGTTCAGCTGCTACTAGCTCCGGGTTGCTACACTAACCTGCTGTTATACAGCATGACCAGTCTCTGCAAAAAAACCTGCCTCCTCTAGCAATTCTATTTCCGCATTCGACATGTTTCCTGTTGGGACCCTGATGGATGAATAAATACCCTGTCATAAGAGGAAGCTGCAGAATGAACAGGCTGGGTTCTATTAGGCAGCTTTACAAAAGAAGTATCTCTCTCAGAACATGAGTGTTGACTTAGAAAGTAAAGACCATTTAGGGTCCCAGCAGAGAACAGATGGCCACCCAGGTTTAAGGTAAGTCCTAAATGACATAATATTGACAAAAGAGTATAAAAAGTGGGGAAAGCACTAGGGAGAGTGCAGCCCTTTGGGGCTAACCATAGGCCAGTGCTCCCTTCCCAAGGCCCGAAGGATCGGGGACAGGGAATGGTCATCAGAATGCGAAAGAAGAGAGTAAAGGAGGCAGTGCCAACTGCTCACTGGCCACTGGGAAGGCGCAATGTCTTCAGTATAGGGTCACAGCAGGCAAGGTAATGCCATGAGGGGCAGGGGTGTCAGGAGAAGGTATGGTCTGAATGCACTACCTTCCTGCCTTCTTATCTCCTATCCAGGGTTCACTCTGATAAAATCCAAGAAGGCTGAGAGCAAGAGATCCCTCCGTGGAGTCAGTATGCAAGCAAAGAGAAGGGCAGAGCCTGGATCTAAGGGGCAGACAGAAGAGAACCACCACCAACCCCAAATGGGAGGGAATTTGAACTACATCAAAATCTACTTGAGGAACATTTTTTAAAAAAATAGGTGAATTCCCCAGAACCACCCCCAAAATCAGAGTAAATACATGAGCAGTGGAATGTAAATAATCTATGGGTTACTTTTATTCCTTCCATGATTCTAATGCACAGCTAAGTTTACAGTCCCTGAGTGTATAAGGCACACAGATGACCTTGAAGATTTTTCTTTCATTTTTTTAAAGATTTATTTTATTTTTTTATGCATACAAGCCCTGGGGTGTAAGACAGAGGTACGGGGGTGGGGGGCAGTGAGAGGATTCTCCAGAGACAGAGTGGGGAGCAGAACAGGCAGATATGCTGAAATACACGGCTGAGGGGAGCAGGGGTCAAGGTAGGAGAGGTCTGCTGTGCCAAATGTGGGTTGGCTCCCTGGCCAGGGATCGAACTCATGTCACAGTGGCTGGCCATAGCTTGATAGCACTGAGAATTTACCCCCTGCACCATAAGAGAGGCCAGACCTTGAACACTTCTAAGCAGGTCACATATTTCTCCTCACCACAAATCCAACAGGACGAAATCACCTGCTGACTCTTCTATAAAGGGGGAGTATTTGCACTGTGGCAGTGTCCTGTCTGAAACAGCACTGACCAGTAAAAGAGAAAATTGTGTCATCCTCTATTCTCAAGTACTAATCCTAGAAGAGCTGAGACTCAGGATAAGTTTTCTTTTTTTTAAAGATTTATTTATTTGTTTGTTTGTTTGTTTGTTTATTTATACAAGCACTGGGTACAGTCAGAAGTGTGGGAGGGTGAGGGAATTCACCAGAGCCAGAGCCAGAACAGGCAGACTGACGAAATACACTGCTGAGAGGAGCAGCGGGCATGGCAGGAGAGGTCTGTCGCGCCATGTGGGACCCTCGCCATTGGCCGGGGATCGAAACGGTGCTGCAGAGGCTGCGGGCAGCTTTGCAGCCCAGCGTTCAACCGCCGCGCCACCAGGGGAGGCCCTCAGGATAAGTTTTGTACATTTGAACATTACTATCTTTTTGCCCCCTGAGTAGAAAATACAGGCAATCACTCCAAAAGAAAAACCTGATTTCTTGAAATCTCTTCACATGCATCCAGACCCTCCACATTAAAAAGCAGTGGATTCAAATGACTTAAAAGGGCTACACGTCCACAAGGATCATTTATTGCAGGGCATGTCATTCAGAAGTTTCACTTAAAGATCATTCTTTCCATTATGATCATTGAAGTGAAACTAAGAGGGGAAAAAATTGACAGTCTGAACTCCAGAAACTTGGCTTCAGAAATGCCTATTAATTCAATACAATAAAACTTACAAACTCCCAGTAATCCTCAAGGTGCTCTTAAAATTGAAATTGATTCTGTGAAACTGCTTTCACCTACCACCATTAAGCAGAATTCCATTTTAACTCAACTCTTAATAGGGAGGGCATGAAGAAAAGTGTTATGTCCAGGAATACAGAATGTTGTGCACCCTGGGCCTGGAAGGAGAAACAGAAGGTGTATACCCAACCCAGACCTTGCATTTGCCTGCTATCATAGGTTCTAGCAACTGCTCATTTCCTTTAAATGGAAGAAATAGGTCATCATTTCCAATCACACAGCACAGTTAAGTGGTAAGTTGTTTTCCACAAAAGCAGTTTTATAGTAAATGCACCCAACATTAAAAGGAGGAAGTAGAAGACACTTATTTACTTTCCCAGCCAGAGTAACAAGATTTCATTTGACTGCAGAAGTAAGAGTTGGAAAGCTGTAGCTTAGGGTTATCCATGCAGTAAATGAATCCCAAGGGTCAGGCTCCTGGGTCCCGCTCCCTGACAGTCTGTTAATCTGCCATGTAACCTTGAGCCATGATCTTAAATGTCTCCAGTCAATTTCCCAACATAATAGATGGGAATAAAAATATACCTACCTTGCAAATCCTATCAGGGTCAAAAATCCTTTACCTACAGGTACGCCCCAGTATGTGTGAGTAGTTTCACCACAAGCAGCTTTATTTCAAGCATTTTCACTGCTAGTATTTTTGCAGCAAATATTTTTGCCACACAACTAATTGGCTGTGAAGTAATTTTGCCATAACACAGAAAAGAAATGTCTTTAAGCTAGTTGTCAGTTTGTTTTTGTTTCTCCATTGACAAAATAAGAAACCAACTCTTTGCAAACTGTTGTGTTATCCTTTTCTAGTACGGCGGGATGTGATCTGGCTTTATGGTCTGATTTCACACTTTGATCACCAGAAAATACCAAGAATACATATAATGCTAGGAGTGAAGAAAAGACTTGGGACAATGCTTGACTGTAATTCACAAGAAAAAAATCTGTTCTTTGTACAGCATTGCCATGAATCTACACATTTGTAAAGATTTTGTAGTTTGTCTTTTTGGTTTTGTTTTAATTTTTTGTTTCATGACGTCCTTTTGAACATCTCTATATGGTAAAACGGCCTTATAACCAGTTATGTGGTGAAGCTGTTTGTGACGAAACCATCTAGAACCATGACTCTGCACCCAGTAGATGTGTCCCTAGTGGTAATGAAATGCTTATAATGAATGAGAACTCAAGTGGTTCACAAGTGGTGTTTTAACTACTCTCAGAGAGTTGACTTTAAAAGCACTTATGAGTGACTAAGAGGTCAGGTCCTAGACACGCACAGTTCTGTTTTCTTACTGTAGCAAGAAAGTGTTCTCAGTAAATTAAACGTTTTTTCCTTCCCCTCAATTCACAATATCACCTGACCCCTTCCCTCCACATGCAGTACATTCTGCACTTACTACTGTGTCAACAGCAGCTTACTAACACCAAAACTGTGTGCTGCCCCCCTCCTTGAACTGAAACCATCACTGGGAGTGACCTGCCCAGCCAGTGGCTGAATTTCCAGCCCCTGTAAGCTAGACCAACGCCGTAGGACTGAGCTCTGCCCAAAGAAATGGGAGTAAAAATGACACATGCTACTTTGGGGTCACCTCTGCCTGGTCACTAGGAAGATGAGGACCAGAACAAGAAACCTCATTCAGCAGGGAGATTGGTAAGTCTATTTAAGAAAATAGCAGTGGACCACTTCTCCCATGAGTCCTTTGGCATCACACATGTCCCTGAGAATTAACGTAGCTGACTCCCTAGCTAGGAGCCAGCATATGCCTCTTAACAATCAGACTAAGCATATATTGAATACCTACTGTATGACACAATCATTCACACAGAAATACAGTCTCATTTTTAAGAGCAGCAGAATTATTTCCATTTAGCAGGCAGGGACACTTTGATCCAAAAGATGCAAGATGTTCCTTGTTCAGGTCCTTGCACAATGACCTTGTCGAAGGTCACTCAAAAAGAACACAGGTTTTCTGGCTGTGAGTGCATTGATGGCAGCACTGTCCCACAGTTTCCTTTTCTGGAGTGTGCCTGAAGGGATCTCCTGCTCTCATTCAGCTGTCACCCTCAAAGACCCAGGCATCCAACCCAAGATCTGAGGGTAACTAATTGCAGCCCACCTGTCTCTAAGGGGCATGTTACGTGAGATTCTGAGCATAAAAATAAAATTGTTTTCTCCAAATAATATGATTCACATGAATTCCATAGGCCATAGGGCCTGACCATCTGTCCACCGTTATCCTGGTATGAGTGACCACTGCCAGGTGTCATGCCAGCCGGCATGGATTAATTAGTTAGTATAAACCAAGTTCAATGTATTTAATTATGCAAACTTGAGCCCTTAATGCCCAATATTACTAAAAACATGCCATAAATTTGGGACACTATAAAAGACTGATGACCAAAACAAAGATATGAAAAGGCCTTGAATGCACTTGAATCAAGTCTGATACTTATTTGCCCAGCAGGGACTCTCCCAGTTCACTGTTGTTATCAATGAAAAATTCATGTGGTCTGAACACATATGGATTTCTAGTCATGTGACCCACTGTAGAAAAACCTCAGACAACCCTTGGTGAACCCTTTCCTTTGCTTGTTCCAACCAATTAGCCCAATATATTCTGGACCTCTTGCGAGACAAGAGGACATTGCTGAGGTTACCATGGCAGCCCCCAATGTTCCCCTGGAGAAGAGCCTCCATTTGCAGACCCCATGCCTTCCATTATGGAACTACAACACATTTATCACCTTCACTTCCCAAAGGGGCTTCCAGACTATCTGTGCTATTGATTGTTTCAGCAATTTACCAGGTAGGGAACTAGAGATATGGGCTAGTAGTTTCTTGTGTTCTTCTTCCTTCACTCCTTACAATTTGGTGCCAATTTAATCCTTGGAAGACTATTGTGCTGCTTGGATGCCCTGATGGTGATCAGAGAGCCAATTCTCTATCTGTAGAACTTAACAAAACTCAGTGACTGTCAATATGTCCCGGCTGATGTCTGGCATTAAGATCAGGCATCCAAAGCTTGTTCAGCCAAAAGAAATAACTAAAATCAAATAAAAAACCCAACTAGACAGAAAATGCCAAAAGGCAAGGAAGAAAAACTTACATTGTTCTCTGAAGCATCACAGAGCTGGACTTTGCCAGGCAGCAGGAAGAACAGGATCAAACACCTACAAGGGAGACCACACGAGGCAAGCACTTCCCCCTCCCAATTCAGTTCCCAAGGTGGTATTCCAGTTTAGCACAAAATGTCATCAGTCAAATGTGTTCAACCAAGGAACCGCAGAAACAGGGATAAATGGTTCTCACAGGAAAGCAAACGCCAGCAGATCACAGCCACTGTTACCATTGCAATTTCCTCTACCTCTTCCTTCTCCTTTTTTCCCTTTCATTTTTTCCCTGCCTTTTGCACCTTTCTTTTTCTTGTCTTCATTCTACTTTTCTTCACCTTCTTCTTTTCCTGATATCTCTTAGGTGATTCTGGATTTTTCATTTCCTGGGTTGGAATGACTCACCACACTACACATTCTAATTTTAATCCTATCCCCAAGACAAGGCATTGTAGCCAATAAATTTCTTCAACCTCCTTACCCCCAAAAATGGGATTGGCACAAAGTCTTGCCAAAGAATTCACCATGAAAAATGGCCACTTTCTTTAACTTGGGCCAAATAAGCTAGGGAAGTGTCCCCCAACCTGATTTTCATTGTTAC